TTTTATACAATCATGGACACTTACAGCCTTAGAACACAGGATTTCTCTTCCTAAGCCATTCTATTTTAGAGAGCCTACATACTGCTACTCTCACACCAGAACAGGGCTTGGTCTGAGCAACCCTGTGATGGCAGCTTTTGTATTTGGTACAAACGCAGTGAGAATGAGAACAAGGATGCATCATCCTCCTCCTTCGTTAAACAATGCACCACAAGAACCACACTCACAAAGTATTACAAACAGGAAATACAATCGACTCTGAGCTATTCACAAGTCAGGGGCTCTACGCAGTCACACTATCAGTACCTACTGGCATTGACTTCAAGGGGCACTGGTAACTCACCATCTACTTGAAAAAGATGCAGCTGAGTGGAACAAGAAATACAAGAACGTAAGAAGACTCAAACTACAAGCACAAGTAACTTGAGCAGGGGTATCACCAAGAATTTTATGAAGTTTCATTACTTCAGAACAGTCATTAAGTCTCTGGATACAGTTTGAATGCTGTTTATCGTTCAAATGGGAAAGAGGTGATGCCATAGAACAGCACACCTGACAGACAAACAAGACAAAACCTAAGTGTATTGCCACAAGAAATATCTATCAAAAATTATCTGATAAGTTGCTTCCACTAGTCAACTGTGAAAGCACTCAACTGACTTTGTTTTCATATAGTAAGAATTAGAAAACTCACACAGGATTTTTGTTTTTAAACTCAAAACAGGTACTGCTGCTTCTTTATCAGTCTCCTTGTACTAATCTTAGTTACTGTGAAGGAGCCTTGCTACTGGACAACTATTTGGACCAACTCATCCTCTCTCTAATTTAAAAAAAAAAAAAAATTAAGTTACCAGATATCACAAGTCTCAGGCACCTGAAATAGTATCTGACAAAATAAAGCTACATTTCCTAAGCTCTCAAACAACAAGAAAAATAGGATAATATAGCATCCCATATTATACAAGACACAAAGGGAGCTATTTTTTTCAAATTATTTTAAAACTTCACAATATGATCCTTACAATATGTTACTACTTCTTTACAACAAGCTGTGGAGGAAAAAATAATACTTTTGGAAAAAGTATTCTATAAAACTACATTTTTTAAAATTAACGTCATCTTTATTAGTACACTTTATCAGTATTATAACACTTTTAGTATTATCATCTTTATTAGTACACTTGACAGCTGTGAAAGATTATTAGCAAGGGAAGTTTACAGAGCCATAACTTCATTGGTTTACATCTTTCTCTTAGTGACAAAGACTCTCCAGAATTAAGACAATCACTTCACTAGCATAGATAAGTGGTTTACTAAGGCAACCAGTTTTCAGGTATCTAGTCTCCATAAGATTATTTATTTATTTATCAAAAGCTGCATATTTCTTCTGGAAAGAATCACTCTCCCACCCACCCCACTCACTTATGTTCCTCCACTTTTAAAAGTGGATGCCAGCTTCAGACTTGTAGGTTGTGTGCGAAGACATTTATTGTTACACAGATGCGAGGCAGCTACATGCATTCCAGTTCTGAGAAAAGCAGGCAGTTCTGTTCAGCTTCACTTGTTTATTTCTTGCTTCTATCTTTCACTTCAAAGTTGCAGCAAGTAATGTGTCCATCCACATTTGTCGTAAGTACAACTACGTGATGTAAAAATTATTCCAGATATGAGCTCATTTCTTTTTCTTCCCTTTACCTTTCTTGCCTCCCTCTCCTTGCTGGAGACTTTGATCACTACCTCCCATCTTCTGGGTTCTTGTTTTCAGTTTGGGAATGGTTTCTGCAGCATACAGCATCACTGATTTACCTAAAAGCACAGAGATCAATGCATGCCTACTATGTTAAGAACATTTGCATCATTTTCAAAGTTAGAAACTTCAGTCCCACTTTAGAATTCAATTAAACTACATATAAGGCCTAGGAGCTCCGCTTCCTTCCCTGGTCTAGCTAGAAGTTTGTGAAAAACTTCTCAACCTTTTTTAAAAAAAAAACAAACCAAAAAACCACAGGACTGATAAATATCACTGCAGCAGACTGTAACAGGCACGTAACCTGACAATCTCCAAAGTACCTACATCCTTCCTGTTACTCTTTCACTTCATCTCTTAATGG